AACTACCAGAGCCGTTATTATGATAAGTAGAATTATTAGGTTGTTCGTAATTTCGGTTCAAAATCTGATGCGGACTTAGCAACTGAATTGCTTGAGTTGGCGACATTTCGCTTATTATATAAGCGAAATTTTTTTTTATGCCGCGAAATGAAATCGCTCAAGTATTATTCTTTACTTTTTCGCTGAATAAAAGTTTTATCAAAAAAAGAAAAGATTTTAACAAATAGTATTTTGTAGGTCTTTCAGTAATTTAAAGTTTTTTATTTCTTTTTAATTCTTAAAAGCATTTTAGGTTGAACCTACATATTCCTGCTGACGATAGAAAGCTTCACCAGTAAGGGGGGAGTTATCCACTTTCATATCAGTTGCGGCGAATATCAGTAAATCAGCGGGAACTTTATCTCCCATCTTTACAAAAACAACGTCACCACGTACTAGCGTAGATGCTTGGATCTGTGTGAGTCTACCATCTCTAATGACATAACATTGTTGTGGAATCATATTCAAAATGACTCTAAAATCGCGGCTGACTTTTGCAATTGATAAAATTCAATTAATGCGTTCAAAAAAGCCACACCAAAGAAAATAGCACCAAGGTAAGTCTGTGAAAAAGAAAAAAATGAAAATAATAATTAATATTTATAATTTGATTATTTAATTGAAAATGCTCAACATAATTATTTAATAAATAACTAACACTGGATTTATTTTCTTTTTGATCAATAGCAAATAAAATGTGCATTAAAACACCCGCAATCATTAATATATTATTGAATAAAGTAAATAAACATTCAAAGTATTTTACGATGGGATGTTTCTTTTTGGGGGGTGTAAGGATATTATGACCATACTCTTCCAATAAACCTTTAATTTGGTTCACATGCAACCCTCTCGATTCTGCAGGTTTGGCAGTATTGATATCAACGCGATATCGTTCGGCGACTTCTTCGGGTGTATGCAAATGTTCATCCTATAATATCGAAAATGAATAGATTCATAACAATCAATAAATTTTCAAATAATTCGAAATAAAGAATAATATTAATACTTACAATGTCTATATTTTTCTTTGTAGCTTCGCTTGCCTTAACTTCGTTATTAGGTATCGTTCTTGTAGTTGAGTCTAATTAGGAATAACCTCATGATCTGGCTTTTCTTGTTCAGAGAATTGAATCTTTTGATAATTCGGGGATGTTTCAATAATCTCATTAGCAGACTTCTCCGAAATTTCAGGATTATCTTTTACTGGGATTTTAGAATTCTCTGAAGATTGAGTATTATCGTTTGTAAGAGTTGTCTGCTTGGTAGTTTGTACTACCGTAGGAGCATCAATAACCTGTTCTTTGACATCTTGTCGAAATACTGGTTGCTCCTTGAATACGACGGTTTGTCCTGTGGGGATGTTCGACGATGTTTCTTTCTTTTCAACATAGGTTGACCTTTTTTTCGGAAGTTTCGGAGTCTAAAACGTCAATTTCATGTTCTACTGTTTCATCAACAGTTTCAGTTTCTATAATGGTTTCTTCGCTTAAGATTTCTTTCACTTGACGAACATTGGGAGTTGAAGGTGACTTCCCCGATAATTGTTGAAAAAATTGCATTATAGTTAATTTCTTGTTATATGGTGCCGGAAGTCTTAACTCGACAATCACGTGATTTTGTTTCAAATTTTGTCGACGATCATTTATTACGTGACTTGAGATCGACCAATTAGAAATAAACATTTTCGTGTAACTAAAAATTTTTTATATTTATGATTTTTTTTTCTCAAAGAATAATCTAAAGCTAAGTATTGAACAATTTTTACATTTCTTTATCCACCCATCTTACAATCTATTATTCTTTCAATATTTTCAGGTAACCAACAATGTGACTTATATTTGTTAACGGCCTATTCTGCAGTCCTGCCCTCTAGTCCTTTGTTATACGTGTCCATGTATCTCCATGATTTACATGCGAATTTTTGAATAGTCATTATAGGAACGCCAATAAGAATCTCAGAAATGCATTTTAATAGGTTTGTATAATCGTAAATACATAACTCTCTTGTTTTACAAAGCCTCAGTATCATTCTATGAAGTTACATTCGTAATAAAACTTTGGATACTATTCTAAAATATGTCCAAATCTAACAATTGCCTTCTCTAATGCTGATTGTTGTTCAAGAAAGTCAGGTTGCAAGGATATTATTCGCTGTGCATAGCAGTCTAATCTTATCTCATCATTTTCATCATTATCAGTATTTTATTTAAAACATTTTTTTGCATACTAAATTAATCTTCTTCTTAGGTCAAAGGTTATGCTCTTCAAGTATTTTTTGATTTCTTTTAGTTGTCTTCTTAGCTTCTCTACTGGATGGTTATCTGAAAATATCATAGACTGTATGTATTTCTCTTCACGTTCGTTTATATACCAACTATTGCGCATTTTAGGCTGTACTTTTTCAGTCCCTAAATTCATTCTTGTTATGATCAGTACGTCTTCTACTATAACATTATATTTAGTTGACTGATTGAAACAAAAAATAGTGATATACCTAGATGCAATATTTTAAATTTCAAAACTGCTTATGCACGAGCTTCGTTGTAAATAATAAGATTAGGTTATTATATATAATATATGCAAAAAACAAAAATTTTAAAAAAGAAACCTGCTCTATCATATGTTCTAATGTCCAATATCTGTTTACTTGTATAGAACAAAAAACATAAGTATCTTTATGTTTGATATGCGGATTTCTTGCAATTGTTTATCAGATAGTTGTAATAACTCATGACATGAACAAAGAAAAACAGAAACCATGATGGAACGTCCTAAATGTTTCAGACGTAAAATATCCTCTTCTTCTCCAATCCAGATTCTTTATCATCTGTCATTTATATAGAAATGACATTCATCATGTATTACCTGAATGAACTCTTTTTCTTTTAACTCAAGCTTGAGTTCTAATACGATATCTAACATATCACTATCAAATTCTTTTATATGTTTCTTATATATAAACATTCTTTCCAGCCATTCTTTTCTATATTCTACTACATCCAACCTCTCGTGCTTATCATAATAAATACCCTTCTTTCTTTCATTATATTGTTACGGTCAGTTCTTTAAGATGCTTATGAGTGATAAGCGAAGTAATGTATATGGGTGGTAAGCAGAAGGTTTAATTTGATAT